CAACATTGCCAGACCGCGCGTCGCAGGTGCTAGCTGCCAGCTCTGTTTCGACGCGCGTCGCCACCAGCTTGCAAAAGTGGCGTTGCTCTTCATTACAGGGCCCTTGGGGCAAGCGCGCAACCCATTGCTGCACATTTGTGACGGATGCGCCAGACCAAACCGCAACAGAGCTGGCAAGTGGCGCCGATGGCACGCGTTTCTGGGCTGGGCGGCTGGAAGACAGCTAGACAGCTATATGGGTGCGAGTCAATAATCGGGTATGGATTGCTCCGCGGTGATCCGAACTATGGATCGGGAATGGCTCATCATAGCATACAAACTGTGCTGATACTCCTTCTCTCTCCTACCTGCTATTACTTCTCCTCCTGCTACTGTTGCTGCTAAAACTGTTGCCACTGCTAGTAGAGGGAGCAATAAAAAACAACACCAGCAGCAGTAGCGGCAATACAAGGAGGAGCTGCAGTAGCAGTAGAAATAGCAGTAGCAGTAACAGTAGTACTAGTAAGAGTCAAAGTAATAATAACAGTAAAATAATCTAATGGAGTAGTAGTAATAGTAGCATAGCAGCAGCAGCAGTAGTAGTAGAAGTAGTAGTAGTAGCAGCAAAAGTAGAAGTAGAAGTACAAGCAGAAGTAGAAGTAGAAGCGCAAGTAGCGCAAGAAGCAGCAGCAGAAGTAGTAACAGATTCGGACTTTCATATTGGCACTTGTTGTGGCGTAACTGGGTTCGGATATGGACCAGGCATGGAACGGGTCTGGATCGGGGTATGGATCAGGACACCATGCTTTTTTAGTTCTACACGTGCCAGGCAAAGTAGAAACAGAAGGACTTGTAGTCATAGCACCACTAGAAGTACAATAAGCACCTAGTGGAAGTAGAACCGGTCTTACAAGCCTCCAAGGTGCACTTGCAATATTGCGAGTAGCTAGTCAACTAGTTACATTTGTCCAACAACCGAAGCACACGGAGAACGTGAGCCAGCACCAGCAGCGAGAGCACGACCAGCAGGAGCAGTAGCAGCAGCTCCTGGGAGCATAATCACTAGTAGTGGCGGCGGCAGCAGCAGCGGAGGCAGTGGAGGCAGCAGTCGAAGCAACGGTAGTAGCGATGGGAGTAGCAGTACGACGACCAGAAGCAGTATATATTAGGATAAAAAGCATCGTTAAGGCCAGCATCAGTCTTTCTTCAAGGAGAAAGGGGTATGGATCTGGGGTATGGATCAAGGGTATGGATCAAAGTATGGATCGGGGGGTATGGATCGTGTGTAGCTTTGGCGCCTTGATCCATACCTTGTATTTTGACTCGTACCCATATAGTTTTCTTGTAGGTTCCGGAAGTGACGTATGTGTCAACTCCCCCTTCTCAATATCATTATCCTCAACATCATCATCCTGCAGCTACAAAATAAACTTCATTCATCATCTTCTACATCATTGCCCTCAACACCCTCATCATCATCATCCTCAACATTATCATACATTATGCTCACACACACAGACACCGTTTGGAGTCTGTTGCCCGCATAATATTTTCTTTTATTTATAATATCAAAAAGAGAAAAGCTTCGGTGGTATCCCCCAGCAGCCGCAACGTTTTATTTTTGGACATCTTTCTGAAGCGTGCTGCCAAGAAAAGCCTCGACAACCCTATTGAACATAACCCTCGACAACCCTATTGAACCTGACCTATCTCTGCACCATCTCAGACCTTCTCCGGAACCTTCTTCGGAACCCTGTTGAAGCTGACCTGGCTCTGCTCCAAGGCCTCCGGGAACTTTCTCCGGAATCACCTTTCCTGTTGAACCTGACTTTGCACCACAGCCGCCTGCTTTGGTGCAGAGCCAGGTAAGGTTCAACAGGGTCCTGGAGAAAGTTCCGGAGCCTCCAAGACCTTCTCCGGAACCCTGTTGAATTTGACCTCGCTTTGCACCAAGGCTTCCTGGAACTTTCTCCGAACAAAATCCGAAAATAAGTTTCGGTGGTATCCCCAACAGCTGCAAAGTTTTATTGTTGCAAATCTTTCTGAAACGTGCTGCGAAGCCAAGCGCTGGAAACCCTCTCGAATCTGTTGGACCTGACCTGGCCCTCCACCAAAGATTCCCAAAACCTTTTCCGAGACCTTCTCCGGGAACCCGTTTTGAACCTGACCTGGCTCTGCACCAAACTCACCCAGACCTTCTCCGGAACCTTCTGCACCAAAGCCTCCCGGAACCTTCTCCGGAACCTTCTTCAGAATCCTGTTGAACCTGACCTGGCTCTGCACCAAAGCCTCCCCGACCTTCTCCGGAACCTTCTCCGGAACCCTGTTGAACCTGACTTGGCTTTGCACCAAGGCTTTTTGGAACCTTCTCCCGAACCTTCTCCGGAACCCCGACCTTCTCCGCAACCTTCTCCAGAACCTTCTCCGGAACCCTGTTGAACGTGACCTGGCTCTGCAACCTCCGGAACTTTTTCCGGAACCTCGTTGAATCTGAGTCGGCACCTGTACCAGTGCACACTGGAGCTGTTCTGGGCTGAAGGAAAAACCCAAAACGGAAAGAAATACATCCCCAAAAAATTGTCCTCCTTAGAAATATTAGAAAGTATTTATCTACATCTCCTCGAAGTACTTCATAGCGGCGGTAAGTTTCATTCCAGAAATTTAATCAATGATCAGTATTGGTGCGAACTTTTCCGCCAGGCTCTGTCACTATTGCACGTATCACGAGGTGTTGCGGACGCTCCTGGACGACAGGATTGGGATGGAGCTTGGCAAAAAGATTTGTAACTTGCCTTTCACTGTCTGGATTCTTGTTCGACCTTATCTGAATACAAATGCTATTGCCAAAAAGTACCTTTTGGTTGGCAACGAACCTGACAGCATTTTGATATATAAACAAATTGAATACTTTCTGCAACCAAAAGCCGCAAGAAAATCTCACGCACAACGGGGAAAGTCGAAGGACTTACGTTTCCACAAAACGCTGTCGGATTGATTCGAAACTTTGCAACAAGGCAAACATCACAATACACGACAAATGTCGACAAATTAACTTTTTCCAGCTGCCAGCTTGTGCGGCCATGAAAAACCTTAACCAAAATCTGTTGAGCAAAGGAGCCACAATACCTGAGAAAGGCTGGCCATCTGTGAGTTGTTTGCCTGCATTCAGGTAAAGCGCTGCTTGCTTTGAAAGCCATGTTTGCATGTCCGTACCACAGAGACGCAAAACCTTGGTAAATTTTCATGCAGTTCTGTTCCGATCCGCGGGATTCAACAAGTTTCCTGCTGCTGAGTCCCATAGCCTCTCCAACACCATCTGCTTGTGCTGCTTGAGCCGGCGGCCCTGTCTTTGGTGTTCTTCATGAAGTATGAGGAGTGCAGTTGCAAGTTGCTCTTGCTGCTCGACATTCGCAAGGCCATGGACTATGACCTTTTCCACCTGGAAGATAAATTCATTCATGCGGGTGGCTACCTCTGATGATATGTCACTTGCCTCCCCAAGCAGGATCCTGGACTTTTCATGCTGCAGCATGAGATTTGCAGCGGCGTCGGGATTGGCCACCCCCGTCTTCCTCATCAGTTCCTGGAACTGTCGCCGGAGTTCAATCAACTTCTCCTCTTTCTCTTTCACTTCGGCCTCTGCCGAAAGCAGGCCCTCAGCCTCGAGAGTATTTTTCCAGAAGTCCTCAGAATCTTTCATCTTGAGCTCTCGTATCTTCCTTTGAAGTTTTTCCTTTTGGTGAGCGATGTCCATCAACTCATCGTCCAAAACTTTTTTGTCCTCGTCAAAGTTTTGTTCATCTAATTTCCACTCCTCTTCATCTTGTTGCACCTGATCTTTAAAGACCTCCATCTCTTCTTTCCAGTCACGTCGCCACCAACGCATGATGTGGAAATTGCGTGTGTTCTTTGTCTCGTTTCGCTGTTGTGCACGAAGACCTCGATAGTACTCTTTGCCCTTCTCAAGGCTCTGCTTCTGGGCTGTGAGACTGGCTTGGCACTCTTCAAGTCTGACCATCTCGTTCTCTTCCTGATCAACATACGTGCACAAACAATAAAAGGACCGGATAACCCCACAAGTCAACTTCTTCCAATAATGAGCAAGAAACGTTGTACCGGGGACGGGGGAGGAAGGAAAGACAAAGGAGGAGGTGGAGGAAAGATGGTGTGTGACAAAGATGGTGTGGTGGAAGATGGTGTGCGACAAAGTTGTGTGTGAAAGATGGTGTGTCAAAGATGGTGTGTGACAAAGTGGTGTGTGAAAGATGGTCTGTGACGGTGTGTGAAAGATGATGTGTGTGAAAGATGGTGTGTGAATGATGGTGTGTGACAAAGTTGTGTGTGCGAAAGATGGTGTGGTGAAAGATGGTGTGTGACAAAGTTGTGTGTGTGTGTGAAAGATGGTGTGTGTGACAAAGATGGTGTGGTGAAAGATGGTGTGTGACAAACATGGTGTGGTGAAAGATGGTGTGTGACAAAGTTGTGAAAGATGGTGTGTCAAAGATTGTGTGTGACAAAGTGGTGTGGGAAAGATGGTGTAAAAGATGGTGTGTGAAAGATGGTGTGTGACGAAGTGGCAGCAGCTCCTCCAGAAGGCTCTGTGTACTGCCCCCGCCACACGACAGCCAGCCGCGGCCCATCGGCGACCACGCGCGCAGCAGCTCCGCCAGGAGGGCTCTGTGTACTGCGCCTGCCACACGACAGCCAGCCGCGGCCCATCGGCGACCACGCGCGCAGCAGCCCCGCCAGGAGGGCTCTGTGTACTGCGCCTGCCACACGGCAGCCAGCCGCAGCCCAGCGGCGACCACGCGCGCAGCAGCTTCCCCAGACGGCTCTGTGTACTGCGCCTGCCACACGGCAGCCAGCCGCAGCCCAGCGGCGACCACGGGCGCAGCAGCTTCGCCAGACGGCTCTGTGTACTGCGCCTGTTGCATGGCAGCCAGCCGCGGCCCAGCGGCGACCATGCACGCAGAAGCTCTGCCAGGCGGCTCTGTGTACGGCTCTGTGTACTGACGTGCGCAGCAGCTCCTCCGCGAGCAGCAGCTCCTCCAGAAGGCTCGCTGTGATGAGTGAGGTGTGAGAAGTGGAGCTGTGATGAGTTGTGGCGTGATGAGTGAGATGTGATAAGTGGTGCAGTGAGCTCCTCCAGAAGTTGTGGTGTGATGAGTGAGGTGTGAGAAGTGGAGCTGTGATGAGTTGTGGTGTGATGAGTGAGATGTGATATGTGGTGCAGTAAGTGGAGCTGTGATGAGTTGTGGTGTGGTGAGTGAGGTGTGAGAAGTGGAGCTGTGATGAGTTGTGGTCTGATGAGTGAGATGCGATAAGTAGTGCAGTGATGAATGCTGTGTGACGAGGTGGCTGTGACAAGTGGTGTGATGAGTTGTGCTGTGATGAGTGAGAGGTGATAAGTGGCGGCAGGGCGGGCGGACGCGGACGCGGACGCGGCGGGTGCAAAGCGAAAAACAAGAACCGCACACAGTGATGTGGGTAACAAACGTCCAAGTCAAAGCAAACACAAAAACAGCACAAATCCAAAGAATCTTGCCTACAAAATTGCCTAAAACGCTGCCAAGTTTCAACCTCTAACTCTTCCTTCAGTCCGCCCCTCATCCGGGCCTTCAGGGCTAGTTCTACATCAGGATCTGCCAACTTGCGAATCTGTTTGCATTTCTGTGCTGCTCTTTCCTTCTCTTCTATCAACCTCTTAAATTCGTCCAGGTTGGACTGCGCAGCAAGCCCTCCTGGCAGCTTGGACCCCATTATGCGAGCAGAAGCCCGCTCAACAAGACCGTGATGGCAAAATGAAGCTTTCTCCACCTGCTCCACCATCTTTTTTTTCCAAGTCTGCACACTTTCGTTGAGTTGGACTACAGCGAAGTCTTTCTCGGAGTTACTTGCCTTGCTTGATTTCACCGACTCGCAATAACTGATGATCGCAACTGCTAACTGCTTGCTGTTGACTGATGTCACAACCATCCTTTGCTTCAGCCCAGCTTTTGCTAGCTGGATTTGGATCAAGTCTTTCTGCACCTCCTCCCTGACACACTCCTCACCAGGCTGGTCAACTGTCTGACTCCATGCCCACTCATTCATAGATTGAAGGGCATCCAATAAGATGCTTTGCTCCAGGAGGTTGTGTTCAATGTTGTCCACTTCTTCGACGATTTTTGCTTGGGCAACTCCGAGTGTCAGTCCTGCTTTCTTCATGTAATTCGAAATCCTTGTGGCAAATTGCCTCCTCTCAAGATCTGGCTTTGTAGCATCACCCTCTCCAGGACGATCCGAGCGCCACTGATCAAGAACTGCTGATGGGGCCAGGCTTTGCCCCACCAAATCATCTCGACGTGTCAGAATCTTCTTTCGATGGATTCCGCGATCCACACCAATTTCCTGGAGGTCCTCATCTGTCAAATTTGCAAGCAACTTTCCATCAACAGAGGCATCTTCAAACTTTGAGACATACTTCTTTAAGTCCATAGTTGTAAGCCAGCGAGACACAGAACCAACGTCCATGCTGTTGATGTCTTGGTGGGACTCTGACCCCTCCGACTTGCGGGGCCACAACTGCCGAGCAATCCGAGCAGGGGCGTGGCGCTGCGGGGAAGGTGGGCCAACGAAGTTGAGCTGCATGCGGAAGAGGAAGGCAATGGCCACGAAAGGCCAAACACGATGGCGTCTGAGAGGCATCTCTCCGTCACACGTCGAAGAGAGAAGCTGAGACTCGAACAGAACGGCTTGAACCAGAGTAACTGAGTAGCTGCGTAGCTGATAGGCTGGCAAACCTTCAAACAAAAGCCAGTTGCTTGACACCCAGTGCTTGTAAACAAAAACTGATGAACTTCGTTTCAAGGAGGCGTCCTTTCCTGTGGTACAGCACATAGGCTCTCTGATCGACAATGTCTCTGTTCATGCATCAAACACATGGAAAAAGGATGAAAAAGGCGATGGAGGATTCTGAAAAGCTGCAATATGCTGCAATTGCTTCGAGCAAGTGCCACTCCCAAAAATCACACTGCCCTGTAGGGCACCTCTAGCCAAAGAGGTCGAACTCCATCTCTTCCTGGACTTGGGCAGCATTCACACCGGATTCTTAAGTGACTGACCCAATCCAAGTTGCACCACTCTATGAACATGACCATCTCATTTACTCATTTGGGATAGATTGTCGCCAAGACGGACAACATGCACTTGCCCCTTGGAGTTTCAAATTCTGAATGTCCTCTGAAGAAATTGCTGGCATAATCTAATCATAGCAATACGCCAAAAAAATGTTAGAATCGCCAACTCCTATTTACTTCGGTGATCTTGACTCACTCCACTGCTGCGTGACAATTGAATCTTAGTAGCAAACAAATCAACCAAGAGAACTTCGGTGAGAAATCAATCTGAGCTCCTCCTCTTCTTCTTCGACCACCTGTCCAGGTTGCATGTCTGATCAAATCCTGCAGCATAACCCTACGATATCTACGATGCTAAAATAAATTGTTCAATATCTTTTGCAGAACTACTCTGTCATCACAACACATTGTGATGACACCCCTAGATAGATTGTTAGTTGCAGCTTTGCAGGCAGAAAAGAAGTTGGGACATGTGCTGAAAATCGTTCTAACTCTTAAGGTGGCAATGGGTGTAACCCACTCGCCAGGGTTTGGCTTAGACATAGAGTGCCAATGGTTACCACAAATTTGGGTAGCTGTTCGTGAAACAATTCCGTCTTGGTAAAGCACTTCCTTCCCCAGATCTGGTCCACCTTCTTCTCTTCCTTCTTCTCCGCAGCACCGCCAGCCGCAGCAGCGCCTGTGCAAGGTCAGTAAGAAACTGAACATGGCAACTAGATCGGTTGGTCTAATTGACGTTTTAAAAATAAATGTGTTGAGAATTGCCCAAACTCTCTTTGGGCAACCTGCTTTTAATCACTTGCCTAGTTTTTCTCACCCACAACCTTGCTTTCTGACCGCCAAATCCTTTTTTTTGCGAGATGATCAAAATACATTGCGCCCTTCTTACATCTAATTGTTTGGAGTGAAACTGCTTCCACAAATGGTCAAAGTATTCAAACAAAGTAAAAACCCGGTCAGCAGTAGCCGATTACCTGGGCAAGATCCTCACCAAGTGGCAAACAAATTCTAATTTTACCCTTGAACGCTTCACATCTGTACAAAAATCGGGCATCCCCAAATCCAGTGACATGTTTAGAATTCTTTGGAGCATCATTTTCCAAACTTTCGCCACAATTCTGTAGCCATGGTCATGCTCTGCGCCTCCACCTGTGGCAGCCACAGGGCCACCGCCACCACCGCCACCGAAGCCCTTGAGCTTCTCCTGCTCTCAGTGGATGACATTACAGACAGATTTCACCTTTCATCAGACAAGTAACAACATGTAACATCAAACATGCTTTACCGTAACTTCACCATTAAAAGCAAAAACTCGAAGCTCAAAACATGAACAGCTTCCAACTACAGGTGATTCCGCGTTTTTTGAGTGGCAGTGAAACTTGGAAAAACCTTTCGTATTGTGTCACCCATTGCAGAAAGGTCAATTTTAACCCCGGAAGGGATGCCTGGATTCACACTGATGCAGGCTGGTGCTTTCGAGGTGGCCAAAATTGCGCGGGTCTGACTCTTACCCTCGACTGGCATTAAACAACAGGGGTCTCTCAGGTTCAGAACCACTTTGCGAGATGATACTTTAAATTGATAAATAGAAAGTGTGGCCAAGGTGTAGAATGCGCTTTGTATGCATGGATTATTGAAGAAATAGAAGAAGAAGAAGAAGTTCAAGTGTCTGACTGAGAAGGATTCACAAATGTAAAGATGCGTGATGCTGGAATGATCATTTCTTTGCATTCCAGTTGCGGGCGACACTGTGATTTGCTTCCATGAACCACCCCTGAAACCGGTCACCCCCTCTGTCCTTGCCAGCGGCCACCACCTGCAACGGAGATCAATGGAGTGGATGGAAAATCATCCGTCCATCTCAATATCCGACAAAACCAATATGTTTTGGATGTGGGACGTGCAAAACTTTGCCACCCCAGTGGATAGCAACTATCCAAAGAAAACTGCCTGGTAAACATCAGTTCAGTGGCAACTTGGAAGTGGACATCATCATTCTTATGGAGCTGAACCAAGCCTGAATCAGCAAGCAAATTTCTCATCCAAGTTATAAGATATATAACTCAAGAAAAATGGGAAGCATCTATAGATATCATCATCGTGATTTTCAAATACTGATGTACAATTGTTCCTAAACCACGTTCCACAGCGCTTCAGAGGAAGTTCGACAGGGCTCTCAAAAGCAACTACAAAACACCACAGGTGCTTCTGGACTGCTGCTTGCGAAAGCACCGCCCTGGACACCACACAGTTGGAACAAAGGGAACAAAGCCTGACATCAACCATCAACCTTTGGGAGGAAGTCATCGTTACACGGAAAGTCATGTGGCCCCAAAAGCATGAGGGAAAATCTGAAGAAGTCCCCTTGGACGTGCCTCGTGAACCACCTTGCCCTCCAACTCGCTCACCAATTTGCTGGCGATGGATTCGTCCTCAGGGCAGCAGCTTCAGTAGCTTTCAAGTTCCCAGTGACGGTTGTGTTTTCTCTGGGTCTGGGACTCTGGGAGTGGTCATTTTTTTCCAACTGGAATGGAACTGCACTGGAACCCTGGAACCCTGGAACCTTGGAACCTGCTGTTGGGTTGCTAAGCTGGGTTAATTTGCTCTCAGGGCTCTGGCGAAAGGTGAATTTCAATTCGAATAGCTACTGGAACTGTCTGGAACTTCTAGACTTAGAAATCTTGGTTGTTTTCGTATGTGATGTCCTTTCGAAATATACTTGGAATGATACGATCAAGTTGCGGTGTCCTCATCTTTCTCACCAGCAACTTCAATCATCTCTTCCATACCCAAGCGTCTATCTTATGTTTCACCAGGCTTTCCCCACCCTGGTCTTAAATCTTGGCTTCCCTGCATATTCAGAGTCCACAGATTCCTAGGCCGCGTGGACACGGGTTGGGATCGAAATAAAGAAGACGGCAACCGAAATAAAGAAGACAGCAACCGTTGCAACCGTACGACTTTCTACACAGTGGTTTGGCCTTTTGCTGTTTTGAATGCATCATGGGGGTGATTCCACGTCGTCCCAGAACTCCATACCAGGCCTACTTTTTAAGCACAAAATGTGCTGGCCCGCCAATGGTGCTCAACACACACTGCCGAGGCTAAATGGGCCGTGGCGCAGCACACATGGAAAAGCTGCTCATGAGCCACTGCCATCTGCGTCCTTCGTGTCTGAAAGTGGAAGCCGACGCGAGTGCCCCTGCCTTCACTTTGGCTGCAACTGAAACTGCATCCACAACAACAATGATACAACGCTATTTCCAAATGTTTGAGAATTCAGTCCTGAACCAACACTGGATGACCAAACTCCATGTCAAAATGAAAATGGCATACAATACTTTGAATCCAGTGGTGCTAGTCTGGCTATGCCACAAGCATCACAAGGAAACATTTGGCCCGCTCAGAGAATGTGGCAGAAATGAACAATTGCCAATTTAATTGCATACAATTGTGGCAAATCAATACATAGTAGTAGTTGTCTGCCACCTATGACTGCTCGTCCTGCAGAACCATGTGCGGGGAAAATACACACCTGAAAATGCAAACAACTTCCCGTGCCGTGGAAGGGCAAGGAGCGATACCAAGGTGTCGACGATTTGTTGGGCCCGGTGAGTTTCAAGATTGGTGTGCCCTGCGCCCGCTTCTTCACGAATCTCTGGAAGATTATTCTGGGACGCAGAGCATTGCAATGCAGCTTTTGCCTCAATCATGAACGTCTTTTCCATCCAATGTCACTTTCGGTACACCATTCTGAAACCTGTTATGAACGCGCAAGGCGAACCAGGACATTTGTTGGAGGTGAGCGGTGACAATCCAAAACCTTCCTTGGCATGATATGATGATCCGCTTCAAGCTGAAGAATTTCCCGAGGTGCTGAACGAAAGTATTGTGGCAGCTAGCTGGAATAAATTACAGTCATTACTCAACGTAGCAAATGGTCATTGGTATTTTGAGGCCACTGGCTCTAGTTCTCCTGGCTTCTAGCTCTCTTGGTATCGACCCTGGGATCATGATATCGCTGTTGTGTCTGAAGGTTGCTGGATATTCTATGTGAAATCTGGCAAGTATGGCAAGTCCAAACTTGTTTATCAATGTCTATCATCCAAACACAGTGCACACGCTCCAAACAAACTTTGGCCCAGGGGTCAGAGGTAGTAGACCGCTGCATAAGGGCCGCGGTCGCCCACGGTGGCCGCATCTGCCCCACGCCGATGACGCTTTAAGAAGAATCTGTCGTGACCGGAGACGTAGCTTCAGTCTTATGAAACACTCCTGGATCTAAGCTCAAGAGTGTTTTTGCTACTTGGCAAAGGGCCTAGCCTCACTTGCGCCCATCAAAACGGCTCACTTGCGCCCACCTTCATGTGTACCTATCTTCATGTACATAAACAACCTTTTAGGGTTTATCTTTTTAGGGGACATGGGGGAGACTTGGGGTTAGGGGGGACTTGGGGACAAGGTATCAACATCTACTTGCGTCAAATGACTGAAAGGGGCTGCGCGGGCACAAGCGAGACAAATCCACGGGCACAAGCGAGGCCGTATTCCTTGGCAAATGTACTCATTTTTACAAAGAAGCTGGTACTGATTAGTTGCACTAGATCTACGTGGTCTCTTCAAACGTGAGATGACAACTCTGTGCAGCGTCAAAGAAACCCAATCAGCAACGCAGATTCTAACCTATGCACTGCGGAACACCCCTTCGTTTAGATCTGGTTTGGGCAAGTTGACCTGGATCCCAAATCATCATGCCATCTGACAGTATCGTGCCAGTACCACACTGGCCATGGCGGCTGGCATTCAATGTCTTGTTTCCTTGGGATGTGACGACAGCTGTTGGGACAGCTGAACCAACTGAAGTGATGCACAAAGTCCTAGGTCTAACCCAAAATGAATTGCACCATATCAGGTTATGCTTACGTGGTGGTTTGGGTTGGTGGTTTGGAAGTCTGGAAATCAGAGGTTTCAGCAAATAGATTATAAAAAAGAAAACAAATTAAGTCAAATTAAATAGTGTGTTTATGGAATTTAGAAAACAATTTGAACAAAATTTGTGTAATTAATTATAACTAATCAATTAATACGTAATTAAAAATATCTAAGGCTATTTTCATTTTAATCTATTTGAATATCTGAGTCCAATCTAACTAACTTTTTATCTGTCTTTCTATCTATCATTGCCTTGGACTCAGGTGGAATTAGTAAAGGCCTGCGGTTTCTGGTGGCTTTTCCTGGTCACGTTGGGCCTGGTTGGGACCGCAACGACGCTGACACAAAGTTCTAAGCCCAGTGCACCATCTCTCGCTTAGGATTGATGGAAGTTGCATGCCACGATCACACTGGGATCATCCCAGAGAATGCTTCCACCATTTTTCAAATGACGGTCACCTGCTACATGATCCAATTGGAATGAGGCAAATTCATCGCTGCATGAGGGTGAAGCAAAACGGAGATTGTGACACCAGTGGTTTTGTGAGAGTTTGATCTTGCGATCCAAGATAGGGTTGAAGGGTTCTCGAAGTGGCAAGGTGCCCTGAAACTCTTCCCTTGCGGGGATCAATTGCCAAACATCCCTTTGATGGCATGGGATTGTGTGATCAAAGCACGTCCAAAACCAGAACAATCACGTTCTTTGCGCCCTTCGGAGGCACTGAAATGGCGCAAAAGAAAACGTCTATCAGCCACAGGTATTGGACAAACGGATACAATCGGATTAATAGATTGTCTCAATCTAATGAATCTAATGGGTCACTGGAATGGGTACCACACGGCGGTTGCAGCTCCAATTTTTAGCGTCAGAAAACCTGTGGAGAAGATGCCGCGTGCATCTAGACAAACCAATGACAGGATGCATGTAATGAAATTCTGCACAAGCAGGGATTGTGAATGTCCAAAGTGTGGAGTTTTGTCCATGGTGGAGAAATAAGTGACTTCAAGTGTCCTCAACCGGAAACAACAATCATGCTGTATCAGTCATATCAGGTGGAAGGGAGCTGGCCCTTTGCCAAGTAGTTCTGTGGTGGAAACATGGCAGCTCTCAGTTTTGGTATGTTTTAGGGCTTCAATGCGAAGGACAAGCGGTTGTACCTTCGCAATGAAGTTGTCTCTGTGGCTGAAAAAAATGTCGGCTAAACAGCGATACGGAGATATGCTCTGATTCCATGTAAGGTGTCGGGAATGCGAAACTGTAATGATTAAAACACATGGTTTTTTGAGTGTACATACAAGATCAAAGGCCAAAGAATTCAGAACCAATAAGACCAATCACTCAATTGTATCAGTCAGGATGAGAAGATCGCTCGCTTGTTGAGTTCAATAATGGTTTTGACCTTACATAACTATATATATATAAATTTATATAAATATAATTTAATCCTTTAACATCTAAAGCTTCAGATTCAAAAGCTACACAAGTGGAGCTGCACAAATGAAAGCACCAAGTTTGCCACTCGTCGGGTCGGCTCTTGGAAATGGAACCAAAGCGTATTCTGACTGCACTTGACTGGCAGAAGGAGAGTCGCCCGCCCTTAAACTTTGCGGTGACGATGGGTGCCGCTGCAGTACAAAAGGACCACAGTGGCAGGAGAATGATTCAATCTGGTCGAAGTTGTGTCGCGCCTTCCATTCTCGTGGTAAGGCACACGTGCTTCTTGCAATAGGATTTTGGCTAAGTGGGAATACTCGGCATAGTTCTTACACCGGGTGGTGATGAAAAGTTGCAAGAAAAACACATGTGGATTGTGGATCCCTGTGTACGACCAGTTGGCCTCGGCGGTCTCCATCTCCCCCATTCAAAGGGAGAGGGTTTGTCGCTGACATGGCTGGGACGCCAAGGCTATGCCGGAGGGCGGCCGGGATGGCGGAAGTGCCCAGGCAGGCGACCCCAGGAATTGACAAACCTCAGCTCAAAGCCATGCCAGTAACACTGTGATGGTGAGAGATTTTGGGTCCTAGCAGAGAGGGCTCCAAACCGACGGTGAAATCAAATCGGATTGAAAATTCAGCGAAAACGTGTGAAAACGTGCGACAAAGATGTTCATATTTTTCAGGCAATATTGGAGTATACTCTCAAACAAGCTGTACGGATCCCAACTTGATATCATCAAACGTCATGATCAACACTGCTTGGTTCCCCTTTTTCTCAGAGTCCTCATGCAAACCCCCCTCCACGGTGAGGTTTGCTGAAGCGACAGGGTTTTCCAACCACCCCAGGTTCCCCTTTGGTCGGGGCATGGAACTTTGGACGCGTTGAACTCCGCGGGCTGGTGGGTATCCACTCCTCAGCTTGACCATCACATGAGAAATCACATAGACATTGACATAGGGTATTCAAAAAGTTGACGATTTCAACTTGGCACAGATCCTGATACCAACTGATTCAAACCTCAGTGGCCGATGTCGTCTTCTTCCATCTTTCTTCGCATGACCTGAGGATGCTCGCTGGCTCCTTTCCCTATTCCAAACTTAGTTCACGAAACCATTTTCAACAATGTAAGATAATAGGTGATGACACTGCAGTCCAAAGATTCAACCCAGTAAAATCATGTGGCTGAGGGCTGGAACCCATCATTGACATCATTTAAGGCTCCCACTTGAATCCAAAATTGCCAAGCTTAAGGCCCGATAGCTAAAAAGAAATGGGCCCTTCACCAAAGTACTATGGCAGCACCTGCTACAGTTTGGGAGTCTAAGTTGGTCTATATTGCTAGCACAGTAAATTTCAATGTAGATGTATGTAGATACAAATTTCATCCCCAAAATGGTAGGAATCTCTTGCACCTCATTGCTGATTGTTTCATTGTCCCTTCCAGAAATGCAGCACTTTGGCGGAATTCCGAGGCCTCAATGCCCTTTTCGAATTCGATCGGGAGTCTCCTGGGCCGTTGGGCTGTTGGAGTTGCCCTTTTCGTGTTTCAATGATGGGTCCATTTCTCAGAGAACTGTGCGGCGAACAAGGCCACATGGCGGCATACATCCCCAGTAAAGTTCCACACAGTGGGATAGCAATTAGCATCAATTAGCATCAATTAGCAATCTCCAATGTAGGCTCTTGCAACTTCGATGAAAACTTGTGTAGAACTCCACAGAAATAAAAACCAACCCAGGATTTTTCAGTGATTTCAAGTGGTGGCAACATGAAACCTCTGGTGACTGCCAAGTTTCGCCACACGTGCTAGGAAGATCTTCAGGTCCTTGCCCACTAGCAGAGAACTGTCTACAGAAAAACCATGGCTGTTGCGGCTGTTGCCATTAAATAAAACCTATTTAAACCTCAGGGTTTTCTATAATATACATATATATATATATATACATAATATTTTTTTTCTTGATCCAATTCAAAGACCACTTTGAGCTGCAAAGGATACCTGTATCCCAGCCGATTGTACTGATTCATAGATAAGGGTCAGAAGAATCACCATTAAAAAACATTAAGCATCATTAAAACATGTGTTAGAAGTTTGAATCCCGTACAACAAGCAACCAACAATGGTATGTTTCAATAGCTCATTTGGGTGGTCAAATTGGTGCACTGGACCTCTCAACTTGGCTTGTTTGAGGGGTTCATCATTTGAACCCAAAGTTTTGATTGTTGTAGGTTAAAACATCCCAAAATAGATGGTTCGTATTTGACTCATAGCTGATGTCAATTGAAAGAAAACTGTTCCAAACTCGGCACTTCGACAAGAGGCTGATGCATGAAGTGCTGCAGGATCCTTTTCCTTGGAAACGACGGGGAAGCATCAACTGAGGAAACATTCATATCGAAGAAGCATTTTCCATGTAGGTTTGATCCATGTGGGGCGAAAGTGGAATTCCAGTGGTGTAGCAAATCATTTCCGCTCTTGTTCTACATGGCCATAAATTGGTGAACAAGTTACCATATCAAGGCAACCCCCCAATGATTGGCCCACCAGGACACTCGATGCCAATCCCTGCGGAGCTTTGGCTCTAAATTGGGACCATGTTATAAGTGTTATAAATTCTCACAACGTATCCATCTTTTCCGCAATGCACCAAACGAGTCAAGCATCCGGCTTGTCTTTCGACGGCTTGTCTTTCGACGGCTTATCTTTCGAGAATCTCGATCGATTTGAAGATCGAAGTGATGAGGAATGGAAGACCTCGCAGTAATCGGTGCCCTGAACTGGACCTGGAGTCTCCTGATGCTTGGTGATGGTAGATGGTCCCTCAAAAATCGTCCCGCGTATGCGACTGATATACTTTTGCTTCTTGGAGTCACAACAAATGGCTCGTCCAGAAACTGGATCCTCTCCTCTTGATGCTCCTTTTGCAGATGAGACATGAGTTGCTTTCAAAACAGGTCCGAAACCTTATAGCCTTAGGTATCACAAATACTTTCATGCCCAGATGCCATCACGTCGAAAATGGAGAGTTCCGGCGGTTCTTCCGCAGTGGGTTGAGCCCAACGCTATGATTTCGGCAGGCGGCTGGACATCATGACATTAAGAACACCACACCATTTTGAAACGCTAGGAGTCCTAGGAGCTACTGATATCTACTGATCATTCGGTTACAATTTTGCACAGTTTTGCTCCGGGAAGTCTTCCAAGAACCTGAGATTTTCATGAGATTTCTGCCTGGCGCATCCACCATCCCTCGGGAAAATCAGAGAAACGATAGGCTTGACCCATCCCAAGTTGCTCAAAATCGCAGGGATCGGTTATCTCCCCATCCATAACCCCCTACTGGTATGAGTTGATATACCTCGGAAATAGACAATTCTTGGTGAATATTCCATAGCTTTGGCTTTTCATATGCTTTGTACAGCCTTTTATGGACCCAACCTCGTCACCAGTTGCTTGACCGAACACTTTATCGGTGTCCAAGTGGCCAGGATGCTCTTGATATCCTCTGCACTGGGAGACTTGCCAGCCAAGGCCTTGGATCCAAAAACCTGGTGGGGGCCCAATTAAAGGACCGGATAACCCCACAAGTCAACTTCTTCCAATAATAAGCATGAAAGGTTGTAGCAGGGACGGGGAAAGAAGGTTAGGGGAAAGGAGGCGGTGAAGGATCGAGAAGTTAAAACAGTTGTGAGTGACAAAGTGGAATGTGAAAGATGGTGTGTGTGTGTGTGTGTGACACAGCAGTGTGTGAAAGATGGCGTGTGTGAAAGTTGTGTGTGAAAGAGAGTGTGTGACAAAGTTGTGTGTGAAAGATGGTGTGTGACAAAGTGGTGTGTGAAAGATGGTGTGGCGAAAGATGGTCGGTGTGTGACAAAGTTGTGTGTGAAGGATGGTGTGGTGAAAGATGGTGTGTGACAAAGTGGTGTGTGAAGGATGGTGTGCTGAAAGATGGTGTGGGTGAAAGTCCTGTGTGAAAGAGAGCATGTGACAAAGTTGTGTGTGAAAGACGGTGTGTGGCAAAGTGCTGTGTGAAAGATGGTGTGTCAAAGATGGGTGTGTGACAAAGTTGTGTGTGAAAAATGGGGTGGTGAAAGATGGTGTGTGGAAGATGGTGTGGTGAAAGATGGTGTGACAAAGTGGTGTGTGACAAAGCGGTGTGTGAAACTTGGTGTGTCAAAGATGCTGTTTGACAAAGTTGGGTGTAAAAGATGGTGTGTGAAAGATGGTGTGTTACAAAGATGGTGTGTAAAAGAGGGTGTGTCAAAGATGGTGGGTGACAATGTGGTGTGTGAAAGATGGTGCGTGAAAGATGGTGGGTGACAAAGTTGGGTGTGAAAGATGGTGTGCCAAAGATGGTGTGTGACAAAGTGGTGTGTGAAAGAGGGTGTGTCAAAGCTGGTGCCACGCCTGCCACGCAAAACGACAGTGGATGTGAGTTTGTGCCACGCCTGCCACGCAAAGTGCCGCGGCGCCCCAGGCGACAAATCCGGACCAAGCGCGCCACACAGTACCATGAGTGCCACGCCTGCCACGCAAAACGACGGTAGATGTGAGTTTGTGCCACGCCTGCCACGCAAACCGACAGTAGATGTGAGTTTGTGCCACGCCTGCCACGCAAAGTGCCGCGGCGTCACAGGCGCCCAAGCCAGTCCAAGCGCGCCACCCAGTGCCATGAGTGCCACGCCTGCCACGTGAAACGAAGGTGGATGTCAGGTTGTGCCACGCCTGCCACGCAAAGTGCATGTCAGGTTGTGCCACGCCTGCCACGCAAAGTGCCGCGGCGTCACAGGCGCCCAAGCCAGTCCAAGCGCGCCACCCAGTGCCATGAGTGCCACGCCTGCCACGTGAAACGAAGGTAGATGTGAGTTTGTGCCACGCCTGCCACGTGAAACGAAGGTGGGTGTGAGTTTGTGCCACGCCTGCCACGCAAAGTGCCGCGGCGTCACAGGCGCCCAAGCCAGTCCAAGCGCGCCACCCAGTGCCATGAGTGCCACGCCTGCCACGTGAAACGAAGGTAGATGTGAGTTTGTGCCACGCCTGCCACGCAAACCGACAGTAGATGTGAGTTTGTGCCACGCCTGCCACGCAAACCGACAGTAGATGTGAGTTTGTGCCACGCCTGCCACGCAAAGTGCCGCGGCGTCACAGGCGCCCAAGCCAGTCCAAGCACGCCACCCAGTGCCATGAGTGCCACGCCTGCCACGTGAAACGAAGGTAGATGTGAGTTTGTGCCACGCCTGCCACGTGAAACGAAGGTGGATGTCAGGTTGTGCCACGCCTGCCACGCAAAGTGCCGCGGCGCCCCAGGCGCCAAATCCCGGCCCAAGGGCGCCACCCAGTACCATCTGTCCCACGCCTGCCACGCAAAACGACGGCAGATGTCAGTTTGTGCCACGCCTGCCACGTGAAACGAAGGTGGATGTAAGGTTGTGCCACGCCTGCCACGCAAAGTGGCGCGGCGCCCCAGGCGCCAAATCCCGGCCCAAGGGCGCCACCCAGTACCATCTGTCCCACGCCTGCCACGCAAAACGACGGCAGATGTCAGTTTGTGCCACGCCTGCCACGTGAAACGAAGGTGGATGTCAAGTTGTGCCACGCAAAACGACGGCAGATGTCAGTTTGTGCCACGCCTGCCACGTGAAACGAAGGTGGATGTCAGGTTGTGCCACGCCTGCCACGCAAAGTGGCGCGGCGCCCCGGGCGACAAATCCGGACCAAGCGCGCCACACAGTGCCATCTGTCCCACGCCTGCCACGCAAAACGAAGGTGGATGTGAGTTTGTGCCACGCCTGCCACGTGAAACGAAGGTGGATGTCAGGTTGTGCCACGCCTGCCACGCAAAGTGGCGCGGCGCCCCAGGCGCCAAATCCCGGCCCAAGGGCGCCACCCAGTACCATCTGTCCCACGCCTGCCACGCAAAACGACGGCAGATGTCAGTTTGTGCCACGCCTGCCACGTGAAACGAAGGTGGATGTCAAGTTGTGCCACGCCTGCCACGCAAAGTGGCGCGGCGCCCCAGGCGCCAAATCCCGGCCCAAGGGCGCCACCCAGTACCA